AGGAACTTGTCCCTTGGGTAAGTCATGCTGAACGCAAGGAAGCCAGGGAAGGCTTCCCAGAAATGTTCACAGCCCCTGCCAAGTCCTCCCTCCTGTGAATCCTCCTGGCCCCGCACTGCTCCATCACTCCACACTTCATACCCTGTGTTTTAAACCGTTGGATCTATTTTCCTGTGTGTTTAATTCATCTGCCGAGGACAAGCTTAGGAACGCTTCAGGCTCTCAAGGCACAGTTTCTTCTCTGTAGTGTTTTGTGCTGTTTCTACTTCCTTGTGCATTTTCACAGTACTTTCAATACCTATTGATTTTCTGATTAGTGTTCTGTTTCAAAAATAAAGTCAGACTGGGTTGAAGGACACAAATAGACAGCTACTCACTGACCCTAACATAATGGGAGCACCAGGGGCGGGCTGGTTTCTCACCACAGTCAAGGAAGCTTTGTTTTCTGGAGTATTTCACAGATATTCCAAGATTTGTTGAGCAGTTGTATCCCATTTAATCTATTCCCGTCACCACCAGGGAGGTGAAATTGAATAAATGTCTTCTTTTATTAAATTCCTTATTCAAACACACTTGGGGATTAAATATCCAGCGTGATAAAAACACCAGGCTTTAAGGGTCCCTGAGAAATTGCAAATGGATATCAAAGAGGTTCTTTACAAGAGTCACATTCCAGAGCCAGGGTGTGGCGCGCAGCCCAATGGAAAGTGACAAAAATAAATGTGAGGCAGGATGCAGTGGGAGAACGAGATGTACGGTTAGATCTAGAGCAACTGTCATAGGCTAAATGATAGATTAAAATCACCATAATTCCTCACCACGGGCAACAAGCCATTCAAAGACTGGGCCGCCTCATAAAATAGAACCAAAGGAAAATCAGCACATGTTTGATGACAGAAAGAATTGGTGTTAGTGCCTTGATCTCTGTTGGAAGCAGCTCTTCTGGGACCACACTGAGAAGTCAGTGATGTTCATTATTGACTAATGTAGAGACAGCACACAACAAAAAGAAGATGAACCTTGAGGTCAGACCATCAGGAATTTGAACCCAAAATTCACTGCTTAGCAGCTGTGCTATTTTGTGGCAGATTACTGGAGTTGTATTAGCCATAGTTTATAAATAAAAATCATAGCCATTATCCTGTTGTCTACTCTGTTAATATTTTTCTCATTTCTGTGTATGTATCAACCTATTTAATTCTCAGCCTATGAATATGGCTATAATTTTCCCCACTGTACAGAGTAGCAGGAGCCCCAACTTGCCTGAGATTACAAACCTATTAAGTGGCAGAGCTAGGAGGAAATAAATAAGCAGTAGATATAAGTTAAAGACAGGTAGTAGGATTCTGAAGAAAAAACAGGACCCTAGTTTATCGATGACACATGGACTTGGAGCAGTGTTTACTGGAAGCCAGCACTGTGGGCTGGGATATGTGAGAAATGCATAGCACCTTAAATCCTGAGCAGCTGTTGTTTGGTAAAATAGAAGAAATGCCAGAAGGACAGATCTGGCAGTGGCTCCTAACTTTGTACCATGTTATACACATGATAGACACATGACGGAAAATTACATTAGACACTGTTGATTAGAAAGCCGAATAGCGATGATAAAATACCACTTGTGAGTGCTCAGGGGGGTTGTTAGTAAGAAGGAAAAATCTAGAGATAGGATGATAGGAAATGAACAGTGATGGAAGAATGGGCATAGAGAAAGAGAGAGGGTTTACCTAGCAAGCCAAGTATCAGGAGCTAGGAGCACTGCTGAGATGTTTGAAGGACTGTGGGGATCTGGCCCAACTACAGCCAGAGGTATGGGGGACACTAGACATAGCACAAACAATACCCACATGGTCAGCTCTATGGTGCCTATTTCCTTGTGTTGGTGAGGATAGCATTTCCTAATAAATCTGTTACAGCTGGGTTTCCCCCACAAGGACACAGAGCAAGTGGTGAGTGGTGGGTAAACAAGCAAGTCAGGGAAGTGCCGTATTTACAGCTGCTTTCTGTTGCTAGAATTACTGTCGAAGCTCCACCTCCTGTGGAATCAGCAGCTGCATTAGATTCTCATGCAAGCATGAAGCCTACTGTGAATGGTGCATGTGAGGGATGTAGGTTGCATGCTCCTTATGAGAATCTAATGGAATAATAAAGTACACAATAGAATGCTAATTGAAATAATATGCACAATAAATGTACTGTGCTTGAATCTTCCCAGAGCCATATATAATGTGCATGGTAAATGTAGTGTGCTTGAGTTTTTCCAAATGTTGTGGAAAAATTGTCTCCCTGAAAACCATCTCTTGGTGCCCAAAACATTGGGGACTGCTGTGTTACAGCATGAGTTGGTCCTGCCTTGACGAATAGAGTGGCACATTTGAATGGCCACCCCCCAAAATCTTTGAAGCTCTTCTTAAGGTGTGACCTCTTGGTCAGGTATTTTTGTTAGTTGCTGCAGTTACGGTTCCCAGATGCCCTGAAACTATATCATGCATAGTTATAGGAACAAATATTTATTGAAATATTTACTCCTTTAAAAGATTATTAAGGACTTTAGACTACCTCTAAAGACACACAGTTCAGAAAATAATGAAAGGAAACTGAAGAGCTGATATAAATATCAATAAGGAGAAAATGACTTGCCACAAAAAAGGTTTTCAATTTTTAAAATTAATCTAAGAGCTGTGCATGTTCATGGGATCCAGTGTGGTTTTTTCATACATGTATCCAGTGTGTGTTGATCATATCCCCAACCTCCATCCTTCCATCCTCCCTCCCTACAACTCTGCCCACCCTAGTCTCTAGTAATCACTCTCCCACTTTCAGGTTGACTTTTTTCCAGTTTCCACACAAGAAAGAACATACTTATCTTTCTGTGTCTGGGTTATTTCCCTTACTGTGATGCCTTCCAGTTCCATTTATTTTCCTATGGAGGACAGGAGTTCATTTTTCTGTATGGATGAGCAATACTCAATTATGTGCCTACTATATTTTCTTTATTCATGTGTTAAGAGGCCTAGCCTGATTTCATGTCTTGCAGGTATCTCTTTTGTATGTTGATTTCATTTCTTCTGGATATATAGCCGGGAGTAGGATAGCAAGGTCATATGATAGAATAGTGTTCTCCATATTGGCTGTATAAATTAGTCTTTTACAAACAGTATGCAAGAGTTTCTTTTCCTCCACATTCTTGCAATCATTTCTTACATTTTGTTTTTTCAACACTAGCCATTCTCACTGGGTTGAGATGGTATCTTGTTGTGGTTTTGCTTTGCATTTCCCTAGAGGCTATGATACTGAGCACTTTTTCATATTTGAGGCCATTTGTATTTCTTATTTTGAGAAGTATCTATTTAGATTAGTTGTCCAATTTTAATTGGATTATTTGGGTTATTTGTTAAATTTTTGATTTTCCCCCCATATTCTGGATACTTTCTGTAAGATGAATAGCTGAAAAAATGAGTAAAAAAATTTTCTCATGTGCTGTAGGTTGTCTCTTTACTCTGTTTACTTTCTTTTGATGCAGTCCAATTTGTCAATTCTTGCTTTTGTTTCTTGTGCTTTTGTGGTCTTCCCAAGAAAATCATTGTATCAATATCTTGAAATGTCTCCTCTGTGTTTTGTATCAGCATTTGCAGAGTTTCATATCTTCTATTAGGATCTGTTTTGAGTTCATTTTTTATATAAGGTGAGAGGTTTTCCCATTTGATAGATCTGGTTCATCTATCACTTTTGCTTGAGCACAGCACGTACCATGTCTGGGTCAGAGAGACGCACTGTCTGTGTAAACCACAGTAGAGTGGGGACACTGTAGCAGTTCAGGCAGGTGTGGGAGTGAACAGCATAGCACGCATGGCACTTATCAAGTGGCTGCTCCTACAATGGGAGTGGAGGTCCCTAGGAGGCCAGGGGATTTCTCATGAATGTTGCTACTACCTCTATTGCTTGTGAGGGTCTCTGGTACTGATGGCATCAGTAGTGATGAGGGGTCTGAAGCTCTTGTGCTTTGACCAGACAGTGCTGTGGGGCTGAGTTCTTCACACAAAGAGGCCATAGTAGGAATCTCAACACCCTATCTGTGACGCTTACCTGTCAGTCACACAACATACAAACTACTTGCTTTTACCCAGGGAGCGAATAGGTCAGGTCACTGCCATCGCTGGGCAAAATTCCACGCATAAAGCACTGTTAATTTTTCTTCAAAATGTGCCAGGTTGTTACCAATGCTTTTATATCATCCAGATGCTAGAATATCAAGGCTTATGCCTCACCTGGCTACTCCACCAGGTCAGTTCCTGGTCTCCTGGTACCCTATTTCTGTCTATCCTGAACAGCTGGCAACACGTCCTTTCCTAAACATCACTTTGCTCATTGTACGCAGGCACTTTTCGTGGTCATTTTCTGAATGTGGGATAAAAATTGAGTTCCCAGGACTATTTTTTAAGGATTTCCATTGCTTCACCTAAACCTGTCATTCTACCCTATTTCTTCATAGAAGGCTTCCAACTCAAACTTGAGAAACCAAAAGCTTGGGCAGATGATTAATCTGATGCTTCTTTAAACTACTATTCTTTCAATTTTAAGTAAAATTTGATTATATTTTATAGTATATTATTTCCTATTAATTTATATTTCTTATTTGTATCAATGACCAATATGATATAAATATGTAATTATTATTATTAAATAATGTCTATTAATTTCAGTTGGTCAAGGTTAATAGTGCAATAGATTTGTTAACCAGTTCATTTCTTATAGGGAAAAAACAGAACTAGAAAGTAGATCTTACCTCCAGAAATATGTAACCCTGTGCTTTTCAGATACATTCACTAGGATCAGGGGTATCTTGTGGATTTCAAGATGCCTAAATAGGGCCCCTCGACTCTCAGGAACCCTTCTCTGAAGAAAAACCCAAGTAACTGTTGAATAGCTGCGTTCTGTGCAAGTGATCATGGGAGAACACTGGAAATCAATAGTCACAAAATAGCCACAAGAACCAATAATTTCTCTTTTTGCTGAGCACAGATTTATTATTCATTTACTTAAAAAACATGTATAGTACAAAGGAGGTTATGTAGAAAGATAAAGCAGAGCACTTCAAATTTTCACTGATTTCTGAAAAAGAGACATTTCTTAACTTGTAGAAGCATATAAACAGACATGAAAAACACTAACATCACATTTTTTAAAAAATTGGCAAGCATATTTGGCCTTAGTAAAAATAAAATCAAACTGATAACTTTGGAAATGCTGTATTTTGTTTCTTCTAGAAAAACTACACGTTGGTACAAGGTGTGTGCAGAGTTCAAGCAGTCACCACAGATGTGAGGTGTGGAAAGAAATGGACCCTTAAGGTAGACAGGCGTTTTTATTTAAAACTGTGAGATTAAAAGTTAACTCTGGGTGCACTCAAAGTAATCTCAGTCACTGACTTGACAGTGACTAAAATTAGAAATAGTGAAATTTTCAGTTGCCTTGGTTTGTTATTACTACCAGTATTTTAAAAACTGGAGTCCCAATTTTCATTACATGTAAATAGGATTACTTTATTTTTCTCTGTGTGATTGCCCTTCAGAAGGTAAAAATCTGGAAGGATAGAACAGTAAGGAAAATAGTAACAGATGGACCCATATGAGGAAGAGAAATATGAGTAAAATAATTTAGCCCAACTCATATTCATTTTTATTCAAATGGCATTTACCAAGGGGTTGCAAAGACAGGGATATAAGGGCCTCTTTCCACAAATTTAAAATCTATGCAGAGAGACAATACATTCTATTTATGTAATTCAGTAACAAAGGAATACAATTCTGCAGGTAAAACAATATGCACAATAGTGTATCCCAAAGAACTGAGAAAGTCTGATGTCATCAAAACATACCTCCAAAGAAAATGTATGTGTGGTCACACACTAAGGGAGGCATAGGATTTGTCGTAGAAACTCCACAGGAGAGTAAGTTCTGGTAACTTCTGGGACATGGGCAGATATTCAGGAGCCAAGAAAAGCTCAGACAAGGTCTACGCAGGAGCAGCACACAAGGTGGGAAAGTTTGATGATGGTCTTGACCCTAACGCCGAGGCATCAGAGCCTGATTCAAGAGCTTGTAGGGAATCACTGAGGGTTTTATACAGGCAAGTATTTCCTGAAATGTTCAGATGTTGTGTAATCATTATGTCCAAGCAGCCTGTTGGGCTGAATGAAAACTTGATGAAACTCACGTCTGCATGCACGTGGGTCATAGGGCCTTTCCTCTGCGGGCATGATGATCGACATGATAGGTTTAATAAACTGACACAAGGCATTTTTAGTTCACTATGCTACAAATCCTTGCAAAGCTGGTTCTCCAAATTTTATTTCTAAATTATCAACTAAATAAAGGCAGTCAGTATGGTGGGCTGAATTGCATCCCCTCTAAATTTGTATGTTTAAATTCTAACCTCTAGTGCATTTAGTCTTGAATTTTCCAGACTCTAGAACTGTGAGAAATAAATTCCTGTTGATCAAGATTCCTTTAGTTATGACAGACCAAGCAAACAGAATGCATTCTACTCTTGTCAGTAATCTCAGACGCTTTGTGAGTCTTTTGTCTACATCTCTTCCTACATTTTTCATGGCTTTACCTTACACAGGGGGCAGTTAAGGGAAGCATAGTGTTTAGTTAGCATCTATGAGACAGTGTAGACGTGGTATGTAATGTAACCCTGGAAGCAATATGTGACACAGTGATCTGTAGGAAGTATTTCAAGGCTTTATTGAAAAAAAAAAGTGATAGAAAATGTGCAGTCTTCACCTACAATTAGGAGTCTTCTAAATAGTATACATATATAACTAATTTATATCTGTTAAACACAGTGGACAATGAAAATAAAACAGTCCTTCATAACTCTTCTTAAGGATAATCAATAATTTATTTCTCTTTTATTGTCACGATTACCACAGTTACCTAGCTACATGACCAATGTCACTACATATCACAGGCAGATTGTCCACCTATACTTTACAGGGACAAAGACAAGGGCTGTTTATGTGTTAAATGTACAAAAGAATGTTAAAAAGGTTTTTTTGTGTGTATAAGACAAGACGTGGTATGTGATTTATTAACAGGTTTGATTTAATAGGTATTATGCCAAGAAGCAAGCATAGAAATGTTTTGGCTTTGACTTGTTATAAAGTAGAAAATAAGTAAACTAGAGAGATAAATCCAGATTTTAACTTACGATAGATACATTAAAATAGGAAATCAATTAGCTCCTCAGTATTCGTTTTTTTTTTTTTGCTTTCCTTCCTTTTTTTTGTTTTATTTTGTTTTTTATAAATGAGTAATATGAATATATCACAAGTTAAGGAAAAACCTCAGCCCCAAACGAAGGTACCAGTAGAGGAAAAACCAAATGAAAAATTACCAGATTATTATTATTATTATTATTTTTTTGCTTACAAAAAATTCAAACTATAAAGAGTCACAAAATGCATATAAAAGCGCCACATTGAACGAGGCAATCGTACTCTACCCGAACCGGTAGCACCCTCCTGAAGTCAGTCGCCGGTGGCCCGTCGGGTCATACCGTGGTGACCGACAGGAAGGCACTGTGCACCCTCGTGCCGTCCGGAGACTTGGCCCCGTGGGTCATCAGTTCCTGGATTGTCATCCAGTTGTCCAGGATCTTCTTGTTTCTCCTCTTCATCATCTTCTTGTGGCTCAGCTCGAGGATGCTGAGCTCCTTGCGGGCCTCGCTGCCGCTCTGGCCCTGCGGCGCCTCCCGCAGGCACTCCAGCCGGCTGCGCAGCATGAACTCGCGGCGCCGGCGCTGCTCCTTGGCGCGCACCAGGTGCTGCTTGCGCTCCTCCTTGCTCCAGTAGCGCCCCATCTTCATCTCGCTCATGGTGTCGTCGTCGGTGGTCATGCCGCTGCGCTCCTCCCGGATCTTTAGGGCGCGTTCCTTGAGAATCCGGTCTCGCACGGGCCTCTTGGTGATGTAGCGGGTGCCATCGCTCCTGACTTTCACCTTCCACTCCATCTTGGGCTCGGCCCCCTTCTGCGGGTCCTTGCACATACTCACCAAGCTGAGCTGGCTCTGGGCGTACTCCACGGCCGACTTCTGCTGAATCAGCTGCATGTAGCTCTGGTAGTGCCTGGCGTGGGCTGGGATGTGGGCGTACCTGTAGGAGGAGCTGTGGTAGGGCGAGAGATAAGGGGTGGGCTCGCTGGCTGTCTTCTCCGGGTCTGGGTCCGGGTCCGGGTCCGGCAGCTTGCTGCTTCCCAAAAGCTTCTCCTGGCTTGCCGTGCTGCACCCTTGCTCGGCGGCCTTGGCCCGCAGGGAGGTTGACTCTTTGCTGCTCTGTCCAGAAGAGAACTGACGCGTGGCCATCGTGCTTCGCAGGTTTTTCTTATTGGTGAGGTTGATCATTCTGGGCAGGGAACTGTCCGGGGAACGGTCCACGGTGAGGGGGGTACTCCTGCAGCTTTCAGCTGTGTTGTAAGCACTGGAGCTGTCCTTGTCTGACTTTTCGGGGTGTTCCATAATGTCGTCTAGCTTTCCTCTTTGCATGTCTAGGCTGGTGTTATAATTTCGGAATCCTCCCCCGTGCAGAGCCCAGATGTCCCCATACTGGTCGGTCACTTTCTGGAGCCTGTGAGCCTGCATGATATTCTGGCATTCCAGCTCGATGTTCCTCAGCTCTTCGTTCAGCAGCTGTAGCTCATGCTCCACTCCGTCCTGTTCCCCTTGGTTGCATTCAATCGTGCTGCTGGAGTAATACAGGTCATACTCTCCGTGGTTGCGGATTTTGCACTTGAGCTCTAAGAGCTGCCGGAATCGTTCACAGTCCTCATCATGGTTGCCCACGCAGTCTGAGTCGATGTATTCGCCAGACACAAAGCTCTCATTGCACTGAAGTTCGACGCTTCCCAGGGTGTCCTGGCTCTGCCCCAGCTCTCTCTTGCTTTTCAAAGAAGCGCCGCTGGGGTCCTCGGCTGCGTTCTCCTGCTCTGAGCTCTCCTCGTTGCGCAGGCTTTCGTCTGTGCGTCCGACGCCGCTGTCCTTCTCGTGGTTGTTGGAGGAGGATGTCGCCGTGTCGGTTGTACCTTCTTCTTCCTCTTGCTTTTTTGGCTGAGAAAATCAAGTTGGTAGAACAAAAGAAGTGAATTACTTTGAAAAACACTGGCGGTTGAAAACAATATTTCTTGGGAAAGGTGCCATCTACAAAGCTTCTCTGATGCTTGAACACGTAACAATTTTAGAAATAACGACAATTAGCTCATGAAAGCTTTTTATGCAGTGAAATAGAGAAAATGAAAGGTGCTTGGATGTGGCTATAATATTTACTTGGGGATAAGTAAGACAAGATACATATAAATGAAGTATTCTCTATTCCTATTCTTACGTGGGCTTTCTTTGAGGTGTATAAATGAAATGACTTTATGAACTTTTGAGGAGAAATAATCAAAAGGATGAGTAAGACAGAGTATTTTAATAGTTTTCAGCAAGATGCAGGCCCGGATTTCAGAAGCCACAGTCACCTGATTATTTGTTTGACTGTTTTCTAGAACTTTCTTCAGGGAACTTTCCAAGGTAACCCTATTGATTCAGTAATATTCTCACAATAGGAAGCCTAACATCAGAAAATTGCAAAGTGAGTTTAATGTTAGGTACAGGAGCCCAGAATATTTCTATCTATAGATGAGGGAGATTAATCCCAAATAGATTCAGGTTGTTAGTGACAAAGAGGGATAGAAAGCAAAGCTGGACCTTCACAACCAGAATTTCTTATGTGTTTTGACTTCGGTGTGTCTCCAAATTGTGTTTCTCAGAAGCAACAACATCTTAGAATTTGAGTTGCATAAAAAATATATATATATATTTTTCCCTTCAACTAGTAGTCCCCTTCAAAGATGAGCTTAAGTCTCTTGCAAAAGAAATTAGCTAAGGCCTGGACATACCTAGAAACTAATTCCTTAAATAACAAAGTTCTTAAATTGTCTTCTAGGAAGAGCCTCCAGGCCTTACATTATTGATTCTTGTGGTTTGGAACCAGCTTTTAAGAATGAGTGGAAGAGGTCAGATCATTTAGTTAATGATATTGACAGGCTTAAAATCCCCTGCACAGAACATAACTCTTGTCCAACCCCAAAGTAATGTATGACCTATAAGGAGGAATCCATTCAATCAAAAAGCAGCTCCTCCCCTTCCCCCTCCTCTAAATTTCCCACTGCCATCTGACTGGGGAGGCAGATTTGAACTGGATTTGAGGTTCTGGCTTTGGCTAGTTGACCATGTAATAACCTGGTGCCATGCTATTGGATTCTGTGTGTGTTGGGGAGTAAACACTTGCTCTGTAGTAATTTCTGGAACCAAGATGAGACCTTCAGTGTTTCAACTACCAGTCTGAGGCTCTGTAGCACCTGGCTAGGTGTGGCCCTGGATGCCAACCTCCAGAGGCCACATGGATATGGTGTTAGTCTGGAAGACTCAGAGGGCTGAATGTGTTTCTCCATGCAGTACTGTGGACCCTCCTCAATTTAGCACTGGATTCCAGGTAAGAGTCACCTGAGAACTGTTTCTGAACATCTTTGTTGCTCAAACACGGCTAAGAAGATTATGACACTGACTCCCAGTCATCAGTCATTTCCCTTCCAATAGAGGACCAAATCAAACCAACCCCTGGGGCAGATCATTCGTGTAAGAAGGGATGATCAAAACCTAACTCTTTGATCAGTGATGTTTTCAGAAGACAAAAGGGAAGAATATAAAAGAAATGTGAAAATTGTCAGACTGAAGATAGAGTCACTTATGTAAACCCTACATAAAAGTAAACGAAGCCGGAGGTAACAAAGGATTCTTATGCATGATTGCCTGACTCTAACCATCACCAAAGACCACCAGACTAGAAATTTTCACAGAGGCCACCACAATTTCTTGCAGGAAGTACTTTTGTAAGGACATTTCCGCAGCAACTGTCAGTGCAACCTTGAACTAATGGCATTTTTGTTAATAGTAAAGGGCCAAAGATTATTGTTCAGAGTACCTGATGGAATCCTTGTCATTTTTACCTTGAAAACCTTTTTTGATCCAATTACCTGCTAGCAAGGGAAAGGAGTAAATCTGTGACACATATACTACTTGTAGCACTTCAGGAAAAACAAAAACCTGGCTAAATTCCATCACCCACATAGGATGATCACAGAGACCAGAAAGAGCTCTCATTCTACATATTCTTGTGAATTATTCGTTGATCTTATGTTACTTCTCAGGGAAAACAAAAAAGGAGGATTCTACTTCTGTATGCATCTTTCCAGAAGGTCATAACACACTGACTAGAAGAGCCCAACCAATGTTAAAAATGACCAGTAGCAATAACGCCTTTGGTATAACAGTCCCCCAAACAAACAGGCCTGTAGGCCCGCTAACGGGGGTCCCATTCCCTGACCCTGCCTCTCTTCAGTATCTTCACTTGGCACCATCCTAGGCTAGATTCATTTCTGTCCTCTACCCAGCAGTTTATAATGATTCTTTTTCTAGGTTGAACATCTGGCTTCTTTCTAAGTAATCTTTAGTCTATTTTGATTGCCCAGACACAAGGGTAGCCTTCTATTGAGGACTCTTCCCCTACTCAACGGGCTCGTTCTTCAACCCAAAACTCAGACCCCAAGGCTAAGCTTGTTCAGTAGGAAGTAGAGCGACTGCTGTCCTCATCCTTCAGAGCTGAGGAATGACAAAGACAGGGCAGGGACTGAAGTGGGCTAAGGCCTGGCCTGGACTTAATTCCTTCAATAATGAAGTTATTAAATTGCCTTCCAGGAAAACCTTCAGGCCTTTCACTAATAGTTTTTTTTTTTTTTTTTTTTTTTGGTTTTTCTCTGGTACCAGGAACCGAACTCGCGACCTTGCTCTTGCCAGGTAGGCGCTTTGCCGCTGAGCTAAATCCCCAGCCCCCCACTAATAGTTCTTATGATTTTTAAACCAACTTTTCAAGAGCAGACATGAGCAAAAGAAACCAGATCATCTGGTCAACACTGCCACAGAGTCAGATATGCACTACATAACTCCCCAAGGAAGCACCTGACATGATGTACCGTCCAGCCACAAAGCACCTGCTCCCCTCTGTAGAGCCTCCCACTGCCAAACAGGACAGATTCAAGCTGCTTCTTTTAGCTCCTGGTCTCCTTACCAGTTGACAATGTGATAAAGCCTTTTTGTTTTGCAATAACCTAGTGCTACAGTATTGGCTTCTATGTGCCTCAGGCAATGAGCACTTGCTCACATGTGCATGCATGCAACACATACACACACACGGACAATTCCAGTGGAACTCTCAGAGACGCTGATGGACACACATGGGGCTAATGTTTTTGACATGTATAGACATATAATACATGCATATACACATATATAGTGTTTATAAACATATCTAGTATATATGGAGTCTGCCAAAAATGCATACACACTTCAGGAGAAGAAAAATAGTATGGTGTCTTTTTTTTATTTTTTTTATTTTTTTTATTTTTCTCCTGTACCGGGAACCGAACTCACGACCTTGTGCTTGCCAGGCAGGCGCTTTGCCACTGAGCTAAATCCCCAGCCCCAGTATGGTGTCTTTTCAACGGATGACGCTACCCTCATATAGGGGACCCTAGAGGATGTTTTGTAGCACAGAAAACCCACTACATTGCTGGCCCTTAGGGAAAAATTGAAAATGCACCTTGCAGCAATCTCAGTGGACCAAGGTTACCCAAGCAGCTGTTCACCATGTTAATAAATGTCTGGAAGCTGATGGCCTCCACTTTGAGCATCTCTTGTCATTGTAGAGGCCAAAGGAAAGTTGTATTAATCTCATGATGTCTCAATAGATTTAGGATTAAAATATTTATACAAGTTTTTCTTTTCCTGAAGTGTATATGTATTTTTTGAAGACCCTTTATATAAATATAAATATACATATATACTAATCTTGGCATTCCTACAGAACAACTTGTCACAACCCTAATGAGATCCATATGTAGTTCTTTTTCTGTAAGTAGGTAGAATTACTGTCTCCTGTATCGCACATCATGGAATAACCTACATGGCAGTTTCCAGGTTCTATCTGCCTTCTGTCTAGGCATGCTCACTGCTACATACATTTATATTTATTTTCTCTAGCAGGTGTAACTACATAATTAAATATAATTAAGCCTATTAGTGCTAAAGAAGGCTGGGATGGGTAATAAAAGGTATTCTAAAACAAGCCTAAAAGGCTCTCTCTAGATAATTGCTATTTTTCCCACATAATAACAGAACAAAATGTGACATGATTTGGAGAGGAGAGACGATGACCATGCATCATGTCACTCTCGTAGTCTCAATCTTTGCCTAGAATATTTTCCCTCATGTGTTAAAAACACACTGATTGATTTTAAATGACTTGCTGATAGCAGAATTATAAGCAGTGGTGACTAACAGTGAAAAGCCTGTCAGGCATCTCTCAGACTCTGAGCTGACAAAAGCCTCAGATGCGGTGAGGTCTGCATAATGGGCCATTTGAGTTTCTATAACATGCTATTTACAGTGATATTTTTCTTATATCTTGCAATGAACCAAAGAATTACAGGAAGGCCAGTAGTTTTTCCTACTTTACATATATTTCAAAATGATACTGACAAATGATGCTCTGGAAGATGCCATATGATGGTTCAATGGCAGCCCTACAACCAAGGACCCTAGGGAAGGCGGGCTTTAGAGGGAGATATATTTAAATTTTAAACTAGACTTCCCTTTTCTGTCACAGTCCTATGATCAACTGTGAAAATAAAAATGTTTTCCATCCTTAAACCCAGGATTCCTGGTTTCTAAGGTAATGCTACTCTACCATTTATCATTTCCCCAGGAATTCTTACAGTGGCAGGTAATGTTTCCACCAAAACATTTCTAATGTATATTATTGTTTATAAGGGCAAAAGACTTTTAAAGGCTTCTGTATGTTTCATCATTTTTCAGTCTTACAGAGAAGAAAAATTTCCACATAGTGAGAATCTATCCTCAGGGACACCTAATGTTACCTCAAAAGACCTAACATTTGTATTACGTCTGAGGAGTAGGCAGTATTTGACACCATATCACTCCACCTAAACAGGATTTGTCCCTTCTTTCTTTATTCCAACATCCTCCTGTCAATTCTATCAGGTCACATTTTGTATCTAAGAGAGAGAAGCCTGGAGCAAGGACTTTCCAGCAGCTGCCACCAAAAAATATCTTTATTTGAGGATGGAGTTGAAGTCACACATAAAAATTCCAGGCTTTCCTACCTCTATTGAAAAACAGTCACCACTGAAGCAACACCACGTTTGAGCATGAGTTACTGTTTGGGACATGGACAATGAACATCCATGATCAGAACATGAGTACATCATACATGGCTATGCTGATACTGACCTTTATGAGCTAATGATTTATTTTATATGAGGGTGTCTGTGCACACATCTTTGTTATGGGATATTAGTATGTAGACATGTTTCATTATTTAGCTTGTATAAGTGATAGGATGTTTATTATTAATGTGGCTAAACCTGCCAGGACTTTTCAAAAAAAATCATCTCTTAAAATGTATGAAGAATTAACGTTGAGAATTAGATGATAATTAAACAAATCAGTAAACTGACATTGAGGTGTTAACAAAATTACATTAAGCAGACGAATGACATGAAGTAGACATTAAAAAATTTGTTACATTGGTCTTGTTTTTATACAGTGAGAAAATAACGGCAAACAGTGAAAACAGTTCTAAGATTAATTTACTAAGGCTACACTGTGATATTTTACTAATTAGGAAGCAACTAAGGACAGGAACTTGATCCTGTCTTGACTACTTTTTTGTATTGACAGTATCTAGTGTGGTTCTTGGAACACATTAAGTGCTCAAAGTTTTTATTGAATGAACAAATGACTTTAGAAAAAATGTCAATAATCTCATTTATGTCATGGGAGATGTTACACAGTGTGTCAACAGCCTTTGGATCAAAGACACTGTACAGTTATTTCAGGGGTAAAATGCCACCAAATACACAAGATTGTTAGCTTAGATCATGTCATCTTTATTCTGTGGTTACAGCCTGAATATACAAATAGGTACATTCATCTTTTAAAATTAAATTTTAGAAGATAACTGTACCTAAAATATTTCAAGTTAAAAACATTCATTTGTTTGTGTTATCATTTGTGTTTGGGTGTCCCCCCAAAGCCTCATGCAGTCATGGGGCAGGCTTTTAGGGTTTGATTGATTATGGGTGTGAGAGCTACACCTGCCCTGGGGTGGATAGTTTGCATATGTAAGGGAGAGGAAGAGGCTGCTTGCGGCCATTCCACCCTGTGTGTGCCTGTTGCTTTGGCTGTGTTCTGCCGCAATGAGCTGTAGCCCTCTGCCATGTGCCACTCTGCCTTGTAACCTGCCAAGTATGGACTGAAACCTCCACAAACTGTAAGTGAAATAAACCTTTCCTTCCTTAATTTTGGGTGTCAGGTATTTTGTCCCAGCAATGAGAGGAAAGTAACCAAGACAGTTTGCAATTAGGTTGAAACACTACCTGGGGCTCAACATTTGAATACCACTGTGCTATATTCAGGCTCCCCGGGCATCCTGAACTGGAAATATTAACAGAAAAAGAAAATATTCCCTCTGCTTCATTTGAGATGATCATTTGCTTTAAAAGATTATCATTATAATTATAGAGATGTTTGATCAATCCTTTTGATTGTGTTTTTGCTCTACTTATGGTTTTGCATGAAAAAAAGAACTAGTAACATTTCATGCGATATGGCTCAAACTGTTGGCCCTACCTGTTCTGCCTCGTTGGCAGTGTGCTGCAGTGCTTCATCCTGCCGCTCTTCCAACATCTCCAAGTTTAACTCCTCTAAGAATTCATTCCTTTCATCTTCCAGCCAGCCTTCATCCAGCTGCAAAAGAATACATTAGTACATTATATTATGTTAGCAAGGACTTATGCTAAAATAGGGTAAATTTAAATGGCGATGCCTGACCAGCTCCTTTCATCACACTGATTCTCTTCACAATATCAGCCTTCTACAGTTCACCTTGCAGAAGAAAAAGTGATGCAAAAAAAAAAAAAAAAAAAATTGGACTCTTAGGCCTTTTATCCTTTCCTGAAACAGAGCTGCAGATTTTCTCTCATAGCTGAGGAAGTCTCACAGCATAGAACATTACCTTCTTTCAAAACGTATGAAAAGCGCACTGCATAATCCACAGCTGTCATGCTCACTGCCTCCAACAGTTCCTGTGTTAAAAGAACTTTGGTGCTACTAATAGGGCTATGAGACCATTGGGCTGTTTTTCCTTTAACATCAGTCCTAATGAGACTACACACAAAGTGTCCTCCACAAGCTGAAGTTACCTGCATCCTATTTTTAAATTTATAGGCATCCCAGTTAGCAAGATGGCTGCTCACCAGGAAAGAATCAACAGACAACATTTATGTATCTATGAAAAAAAGCAAAATTCTAAATTATTATTCTCAAGGTGGGGGAGAAGCAATGTGACATCATATGTCTGTCTGTCTATTGATTGATTGGTGGATTGAGTCCAGGGCTGTGGGCATACTAAGCATACAGTGGTCTATCACGGAGCTATACCCCCAAGTTCCCATCATGTCTTTTTGGATTCATTTTTCAGGCACATTTACAAGGAAAAAGACCTTAGCCACTGTGGCACTGGGGGGCGGGGAGTGCTGCAGAGGAGGTGGGGCTTTATCTGTGGGTGCTGGATGCAGTACCCTTGTGGGAATCTTACACAGATTAAACTGAACAAATCCCTTTGGCTTCTCCATACAAAGTGCAGTGCAAACCTTGTGATCAGTCTGCTACTATGATTGGTGTCGACAGTCAATCCAGATAATATGTTGCAAAGTGGATTTTTGGAGCTGGATTACATAAATTAGCTGTCTAGGCTTATTAAATACCCTGGATTATTGTCAAAACTCAGCTGTAGTCTGTGTTACAAAGAAACAACTGCTTCCTACTACTGGGGAAAAATGGCTAGGTGTTTTCATGAAAAAAACTGGAAAATGAGCTTGGAAAGATAACTGAATTTCTCAAACTTTAAAGCAAAACAAACCAGGAGAGAAGGACATTAAGCTACACCCAAAGATCCACTGGCATACATGTATCACATTCATTAATATGAAGGCAAATCAGAGATTTTGTGATATCCATTAAGGCCATGTAGAATTTAAATCACCTTAGATCTAACCGGGGCCATCTTCATTTATCTTAATACAGCCTGAATAACTTGACCAAATTCCATCCCCTGGACTTTAATATGCACAAGAGCTACGATAATTATTCTAACAATAGAAATTCAATCCAATTTATAACTGTCCAAATCTTAGTCTTTAATTCCTTTTAAGTGTCCTGCAGCTGCAAGTCCCACACTCCAAGGGAAAGTTCTTAAAGCTAAAAATGTTTGCTTTCTATAAACACATCCAGGATTCTTCCTTTAATCAGGTCAAAACAAAATGTTTCCTACTACTGATAAAGCGAATGATGGGATGGAATCTTTGGAGGTTAAATGAAGTGGTGGGAAAGACAAAGAGAGTCAAGCAGAAATTAATGATCCCTATAACTCTTTTTTTATTGACTGACCCCACGTATCCCTGAACTGCCCTTGTAGTCAGTACATGGGTGTTCTGGTGAGATTCCCTGTTGGCTGAGGGTTCACTCAGCACAATAAATAAGGGCAGATTCTTCTGTTTTCCCTTCCCATTCATTCACCGGAGTCTGAGTCTAACCCTGTGGTGGAGACAGGCACCCCCCCTGGAGATGAGCTGCAGGAAAAGAAGAACTGTCATCATTTAAGGATCTGTCCACCAAAGCAGGCCATGTGGGGCACTGCAGAGAGAGAACAAGGTACACTATCTCCAAAGTGGTTACAAGTACCGCTGAAAGCTCTCTGCGCCTCAATGTCCTGGGGGGACTAGGACAGAAAAGCAATATCTTTAATGGTCTGAGGAAAAAAAAATGGGCAGGAAATGAAAGAAAGGTGACAGGGAACGAAGGAAATGAGTTATTTAAAAATATTGCGCAGATGCACAGTAACTGCCCCCAGCAACTCTAGATCATTTCCAAGAATCTAGAGAGAATTCGAGACATATTAAAAACATGCTAGGAAAAGCACACAAAAAGCACCTACATTCTCCTTGAATAAACTACACGTGTAAAAAATGCAATGAGCTATACTGAATTTGGTGGCAAAAGATGGGTGATGTAGACTCAATTTTTTAAAAAATGTTCTTTTGTGGGACAGCTTTCTAGCCTATACTGCTTACGTTATGTTTTTCAAGTATGGTGTCAAGTTGTATTTTCTTTGCTGATTTCTCTGAGAATCTGAGTTTCAGCGGGTAATTAGTTTCTTCTAGTGGCACGAAAGCTTCTATAGGATCAAGGGGCTGATGCAGATCCTGACTTTGACAGGCAGGATGGCAGCCTGTGGAGCCAGACGACCATCTTTTATCAACTGTGGAAAGCAAGTCTCATTTGGAATTGTACCCTTCAACATCGACTTTTCTGGGGCAAAAGGTCAGGGTTATAGCCACATATTAAAAAATGCTGTTGGTTCTGCCAGGCATATGTATTCCATCAAAGAGTAACAGGATCTGGTTTTATGTCATTAATTTCTATCTTTCCTCAGTCGTTACAGCCATTATATGGCATATTTTAAGGAAATGCTTTAGTTCTAAATTAATGAGTTTCCCTTGCATTTACATGGAAACGGCAGGCAGCCACATTATAATATAAAGATTTTTTTCTACAACACAGATGCTACTGAGCTGATTTCAAATTACCATGAATTTCACTCATTGTATCTATTCCCTTTACTCTGTTCTTTGAGAAAGTTTGATCCGTGGGATAACTGGTTTGAGAAATTTTCAGGTAATTGGTATAATTTCATATATATTTTAAAAATTAATTTCCACTTAGGGAATCTAGCACATTGTGTGGGCTCATTTCCATATTCCTAAGACCTCAGGTGTGCAACTTTACTCTGCTCCAGGCTATAGCAGGCTTTATGAGAACCATTTAGAATGGTCAAGGGCATAAAGGAAATATATGCGGAAAGGGTGATCTTTTATAACCACTATATTCTAGTCAGGGTTCAGTCTGACACTGAAATACACTTACTCAGTGTAATTTATAGATAGTATATAGTTACTGAGTCTGAAAAATATCAGATCGATAACCTAGGAGACAAATGCCAATGTAACTAACTTCACTCAAACTACGGGCAGATGGATAGAATGGTGACAATGTATTGTCCTTTCTGCATTGTGGTGGGATATAAAAAGGATATAAAAGGAAGTACTAATAGTACTTTTCTTCCACCATTACCTCTCCATGACATCTTCCTCTGTAAAGATCTAAAGGAATTTTTTTAAATAAGCATCAGTTTTTTTTGGCTGAACGTATGTTTGTCACACTCAATTTGGAAAAAACTCATTCTGTATAGAGCCACACCATGCTACGTAAGAACTTTTATTCCATAAAGTTATTCTAAAAAGACTTAAAAGGATAGCTGGGTATGGCAATGTTTTCCTCAATAGAGATTCTTTCAGGGTACCTTAATATGCCAATTAAGTATGTATGTATGAATATATTTTTTGGTACCAGAAATCGAACTCAGTACCTTGCACTTGCCAGGCAGGTGCTGTGCCACAGAGCTATCTCCTTGGCCCTAGTTAAGTATTTTTTTAGATAGAAACTTAGAGCAAGGATCCACACAGCATTAAGAAACATGTAAAGTAAACCATTTTTCATTTGTGAAGTCCTTTAAATAACTGGCAAGTGGAAGGAGAGAAGAATGATTCAATTCTGCGTGCTGTGAAGGTTTTCCTCAATGGACTATTTAGCCACCATTCTTAGGGGCCTGATAAGGGAGCGTTTTAATATACACAGTACTTTTGATGCTAAGGTTGGCAACTTAGGAATGATGCATGTTGTATTTTGAATACAGTACTTGGTTTTGCATATATCTATGATAGTGATTTGATATGGAATAGCTGAGAATGAATATAAATTCATTCACAAATGCAATTCACGGGAGCTAAACCTCAGGAGTTTTGGTCTCTGCTCTGACCTGAATCTCGGGCCTTGCAACAAGCAGCACGATTCTCTTCAACTCATCGCTCGCCAGCAACGCCACGGCCTCTTCTCGATTCTGGACGTCTTCCCCATTTATCTAGAAAACAAATGAAAGCGGCACATTAGTTTCCATTTCCACCGTGCTGCACACAATAAATGGCAAATATCAGCTCATTTATGGTAAATGTATGGACAATGAAGCTCACACAATGAGCCCATCTTCGGCCCCTGGGTGGAAAGTGCCTGCACTCAATTAGGCGCTTACTGTAAGAGCCGTATCGATCCCTGAAGGATGGCGGACATCAGAGGAAGCAGTTATGTTCATAAATGTCCAACCTGCGCCCTGGCAACATACATCTAGCAACACAATTAACCAGCCGCTGACAGCTGACGTTCATCTTTCTCCGCTCAGAGTAATGGAAGTGTCACTCTGAGATAATAGTGCTGCGAGGAGGAGAACCGGCAATACCGCAACTGAAATCCGTCATCCTGCATGCTTGCTGCGAGCCAATTAGACAGTGGCAGTGCTATCTCTCAGCAGGCAGCGTTCCCAGCCCACTACTGATTGCATTTTTATTCAATCATTTCATGTTTGTGAGTCGGACTCAGTTGCCCAAACAGCCACTCTGTGTTCACGTGATCAGAGGGAAGCATGGTTATCAGTAACTCTTCATTAATAAGATTCACCCACTTCCTAAGACACTGAAATTGGTGCAATGTTCTAAGTATATTTAAAAATTTAAAAACATTAACGTAAAGTAAAATTGACTTTTCTGAAAAAAGTGGAAGGTAACCTTTGCTAAACTTTTGCTTGCACAGGAAATATATGTTCTTGGGCCTATTAGTCTGGTTTTCAATCTGTACGTGTGATAACTAACCTTGTAAGGTCTTATAAATAAATGAATCTGATGATGGGAAAATAAAAGAGGAATTGAGGGAAGGGGAAAAAAAGAAATGTGTTATGCACATGTATCAACTCCCTACAACGAATTTAATTATTATGGGTTGCAAACACTAATAAAAGTAAATGAGATTCCAGTGGGATTTGAAATACATATTTTTACTTTTTCTGAGTTCTAAAGAGAGAGGAAATAAACTTTCTAAAGTTTGTATTTTAAACTACATTTTCATGTTCAAAGGTATTTTAGCTCTTAGCTAACATAACTTTTTTCACTTGGATATTCAAAACAAAATCTTGATTGCTCTACTCCATAGAGATAATAAGCATTTTGATCTCCAACATATAAGCAAACTATGTGGAAAGAAATTTCAGCCAGAGGAAATTCTGCCTAACACAAGTATTTATTACTTCACTCATAGATGGAAAACATGACTACACTGACCATATCTTTTTCAGTAATTAACCTAACATCTTTTGCTACAGATTTCTGCATAAAGGCGTAAAGTAGACCACTAAATTCTCTGCAGCCTTTGGGACTAGCTGACTCTCAGTTTTGGTACACAGTAAAGGCCCTTATTCCTAGACCCTTATTACAAGAAAACCAACCACTACAAGGTCTATATCGATTTTTTTTTTGCAATTTACTAAACTTCAAAATAGAGGCAGTGATTACCATGCACTAAACTAAAGTCAGAATGGATCAAAGACCTAAATATTAAAACAGAAACACTAAATCCACTGGGAGAGAAATTAGTTAAAAATCTTGAAGACATAGGGTAGGCAGAGAGTTCATGAACAAAAACCAAACTGCATGGGGAACACTTCAAAGAATCAACAACTGGAATCTCATCTTATTGAAAAGTTTTTGCACATCAGAAGAAATCACCAACAGGGTAAGAAGAAAACCCATGAACTGGGAAAAAATTTTAGCCAACTGCCCCTCAGACAAAGGATGTCTATCTAGAACATATAAAGGATTAAAAAAAAAATTAGGCCTCCAAAATTCAAAGACCCAATCCAAAAATGGGCATCTGAGATGAATATGCACTTCTCAGACAAAGAAATACAAATGGCAAGTAAATATATGAAAAAATGTTCAACATCATTAGTCATTCAAGAAATGCAAATTAAAGTATCACTGAAATTCCATCTCACCCCAGAAAGAATGGCTACCATCAAGAAATCAACCAATAACAAATGCTGGACAGGCTGTGGGGAAAAAGGAGTCCTTCTTCACTACTAGTGGGAATGTAGACTGATGAAACCACCATGGAAATCAGTGTGGAGATTCCTTAAGAAACTAGGATTAGAGGTCCCACTTAACCCAGCTATTCTCCTTCTGGGTATTTTCCCAGAAAAACTGAAAACATCATACCACAGTGATATATGTGCACCCAAGTTTATAGCAGCACAATTTGTCATAGCTAAATATTGAAAACAACCCAAATGCCTATCAAATGAGGATTGGGTAAAAGAAGATGCAGTATTTGTATACAATGGAGTATTACTCAGCCATAAAGAAGATAAACTCGAGGCTTTTATAGGTAAATGAATGCAACTAGAGACCATATGCATAAGTGAAATAAGTAAGACTCGCATGTGTAAACATTGTATTGTCTTCCTAGTGTAAGAATCTGAAAGAATGAATAAAACCCTAAAGGTACAGTAGATATTGTGAAAGGGAAAGAAATTGCTCAAAGGGAAAGAACAGCTGGGATGAGGGAAAGGAGAAAAGAAGGAAGAGAAAAATCATATATGCATATACAGAGATAGCTGCGATAATTCTACTGCTAATATCTATTGGTTTATTGAAAGGAACAGTTAATGCTTAAATGTTTTTGACCAATTTTTCATGCTTATATCCAGTAATCTGAACAACTAATTTGAAGACAACAATATGCAATATAACCACTATTGGTGAATTCCTACCATCTTGTTTAGTGAAGCTCTGTATTGTTTCTCATTTTTTAAATTATTTTTTTATTCTCTTTAATTGTTTGATCAATCTTGCATTCTTACATCTGGTAATCTGAGCAACTTCATTGAAGATAACAATATGTAATGTAGGGGCTGGGGATTTAGCTAAGCGGCAAAGTGCCTGCCTGGCAAGCGCAAGGTCGTGAGTTCGGTTCCCGGTACCGGAGAAAAACCAAAAAAAAAAACAAACAAACAAAACAATATGTAATGTAACAACCATTGTTAATTTCCTACCATCTTGTTTTGAAATTCTGTGTCATTTTTACTGTTTTAGTATTTGTTGTTATTTTGTTACTGTTTTTTTCTCTTTAAAACAAACAGAGGTAATTATCCAAACAGAGGAATAATGATGGGGAAAGGTATGTTGTTTTCATAAATGTATCTGAAAAGGTATGTATGTGCTGACTTCAAAGACTTTTTTTTCCCCTCAAAGATAAATGTTGGCTGTGATTGATTCTAGTACACTTCTTGTACCTACTCTTAAAAGTGATTTTAAAGTAATAGTACAATTTTTACTCACTTTGGCCATTGGTGGTTCTAGTACTAGATCCACAATGCACCTGTTTGTTTGTTAAACATTGGCTCCATCAGTCTGCTTTCCTCCGCTCTGGGTACATTTGACACGAAGTGTGTTGAGCTAGGTGATGTCACAAAGCTTATCTTTATCTTTTCTCTTTGACATAGAATTCTCACTACTTCGCCCCCTAGGCTTCCCTCAAATATATTTGTGTTTCTCCCTTCTTCGTTTAAATTTCATTTGCTATTAAATATTCTCATGTATGTTACGGTAATGTTGCTATGATATTCATCATCTCCAAGTGAAGTGTTCCTTCTCACAGGCTTGTCAGAAAGGGCTCAACAAGTTCCTGACACATAGAGTTCCCAAAGTTGGGACAAATTATTGTCAGCACTACTGCATTACAGCCATAGTCATTTGCATTTTAATCCTCATAGATGCAAGGCAGTTCCCTGCTAAATAAAGCACAGATAATACCACTAATAAACAGTAGTTAAACCCCTTGCAGTAATCAGTGGATCTGTTTAGAAAGCTGTTTGCCTTTTTTTGTATTTTAAACTCGTAGAAGGCTATCAAGAAATAATACGGTTGTGTTTGCTTTTTAGTTCCTTTCCAGTTGCTATTCATCTTCCTCATCTGTAAGCTCAAGTGACCAGAGCTCTGGTCTCCAGTTCTGCCAATCAGTGCTTGTATCAGGGGGGCAATTCATGCATTGCAAAAACATTTTTTATATATAGAATCACACAGGGGACAAAATGAATTTGTCACAGAAACCTGGTGCCGAAATGTAATTTACTGTTTTCTCTTTCAAAATAAGGGCAATTTTAGCAAACTGGTCTGGTAGACTCCATTGTACTTAGGATTTTAGTTTGATACCCAAACTGATATTAAGAAATGAAACCAATGTGTTTTTAGCAAAGATGCCTCTCAAAGAAAGGACAAATTTGAGGAATGGAATCAGATAGAGTTTTCAAACTTCAGTTGCTCTTGTTCCTGAAATAATGGTTTGTGGTTTCAGGACTGCTTTGGGAAAGCAGCTTGCTGTTCCTGAAAACACCAGCAGACAGAGGAGAACAACACAGCAACAAGGGAAGGAGACAGATGACAAGTCACCGCCACTTACTGAAGGAATTATATTTTCGGAAAAGAAAGAGGAAGCAAGCCAACAGGAAGCAAGCCAAGAGAACGACAATGGGCCAATATGTTACTTTTGTTCTAAATGAAGGAAGTCATTGTAGATAATATCCATCTCTCATTTCTGTACATAATCATATGCAAACAGTTTCAAAATAGATATTGTCTTTGTTTTAGAAGAGATCTATGGGAGAGACAGTGGATGAGAGACAGAGAGAGAGATGGAAAGGAGCTAAAACCTTAGAATTGGTTAATAAAGCTTTTCTGGTTGAACATGACAATTTTTAGGTTTCCTGTATTATTGTACCAAAGGCAGATGGGCAATTGAAGTTCTTGCATTAAACTATCTATGAAATTTCTTAGGAAAACCCAAGAACCTAAGAAGAGAGATTTACTTCAAAAGTATTTACATTTTAATATGGAGAGAAATATGGTATGTGGAATATAGAGATACAGATGCAGAAGAAACAGAAATAGGGAGAAACAGCTATGGAAAATTGAGAACAATTTAATAAACAGGAATGCTAAGGACCAGTTTATATGTAGGGCAGAACTTTCTCTTCTAGGGAAGAGAGAGTTTCTTAGCAGTTTTATTATTCTATTGTTTGAGTTCTGGCAGAGTTTTGTCGAGAAGTACTCCTTAGGAACATGACTAATACTTTTTGGCCAGCATGAGGTTAGGCTGCTTATGTGGAATACTACATGCTAACCATCCCAAAGAACACATGAGAATATAGTGCTCTCTATTTGGGGAAGTTGATGTTTATGTGGCATTGAACCCTTGCTCTGAGCCTCAGAAGTGTCTTCTTCGTGCCTGTGATATTGTGTGAGAGGTTTCTTTAGATTAGGTCTTGGGGACAAATCTATACACGCTCCAGGCAATGGCGCACAGCAGAGAGAACCACCCTGCATTTGCGGAGAACAAACACATGAGCAACAGGAATGTTGTCACATTAGTTCATGTGTAGAGTTGAATTCTAGGCTTTTTCATGTGATATGTATTTATTCATTAAGTCTGATATTTGTCACTGAATAGGAAGTAATCAGGCAGAAAATACTTTATCCATCCTACTGTTGTTTCTTCAGTAAACCACCTCCATTAAAGAATATTTTGTTATTTTACATATTTTTTTTCTTCAGAAATTCATCTGTCCACAACATGGTCAAGAGTTTGGAAGTGTCAAAGCATATGGTTCGTGTATAGAAACATACACACTTTATGTCTAGTTAACTGTGCCCATCAAACCAATTGAGGTGATTTTAATAACTATATCCACATATCCAGCCTACAAGAGGTTAGCTGGGAATTGGGAGGGAAGTCAGGTGACGTGGGCTATGGAGATCACCTGGTGGGAGGAAGTAGTGGCAGCCAGCAACAGCAAGAGAACAGCAAGGAGTGCTGTTCAACACAGAGAGTCCATACATCCCCAAATGGACCCATCTGGGGTCACTCAGTGTCAGGTCAGAGAACTCTCTGGACCTTTTGGTCACTGAGCATTTTACTCTCCTGGAGCACTGTGGAACGATTTCTGGGCATACCACAACCCTAAGCTTCAGCAGCTTGCATTGATTTTAGTATGCTGAACTGCAAATGGTAACGAAGTGAAAATATATTTTAAATGATTTCAAAATGAGAACATTTTGAAACTTTTGCTACACAGTGAAGCAAGGAACATAAACATATTCTATGTTTAGCTACACAATGAAGCAAGGAACATAAACATATGCTACAGAGGTCAGCATGAATGGAAAACTAAAATCACAGCTGCTGTTCAGACATACATTTAAAGGAAAGCCAGCCAGGGAACCTGGAGGATAAGAGGTAAATCCTGTTTCTCCCACTTTCCTTTCTGGCACCCTTAATTTCTTAATGAGGCTATGTAGTTTTTATCTGTCCCTCATCCTTTCCACAGAATACCTTTGTTCCAGTCACTGAATTATTCATGTGAATGTGTAAAAGATACTAAAGTGCAGTGGCAAACAAGACAATGTCTTGGTTTCCTGACCCATTCTGTATTCTGCTGATATTCCCCAGACACGATTCTATTTTGTTTAACTATAAGTCCCTGCTTACAGAGCTTACTGAACTAGAAATTATGCACTCTCGAGCTTTTTTGAAAACTTGTGGGACCCCAAATGGTCAGTTATTTGTATTTATTCTTTTCTATTCAGAGTCTTAGTAGAGGCTGTTGATGTAAAGGAGCTCTGTGGCATCTAGCTAGGGCGAGGGCGGGGAGGCGACAGTGGTGGGATTCAGTGACTGCCACCCAGTGGAAGGGGCGGTGTGCAGCCCTGGCAGTGCTGGGCCAACACACAGAGAACAGTCACACTGTACTGTGATCCTCGGTGTGTGCTGCCCTCTTCCCAATTTCACAGAAAAAGGGTGCTCCAAAGGCCGGGAGGCATTTTGTCTGTTTTTGAAGTCCTTAAAATACCCTTTAGGGATCCACATGTAGCAACGAAAAATGGGAACTCAATCTGACCTAGAAGTTTTGCCACATGTTTTCACAGTCTGTATTCCCTCAAATTACCTTTCTAGTCCCTCTCTCTGTCTCGGGTGCTGATCAGCAATGAATTCAACCTAGAAGGGCCTCTGCTCTGAGTTGGGTTTGATCTGCAAACAAGCGCTATCTCCTTGCAGCAGCCTTGATGGGAGGACTTGGAAGGGATGGGGTGTGGTGAGGCAGGTTTAGAATAGAAAGTTTGGGTGTCAGTTATTCTTGCTTAGGCCTGGAATTCCTCTCCAACTCTGTATCTCCTTTGCTTACTGTTTCTCTCACTAAACTGAATTTTAATCAGTCTCTCTTTTTATCTTTCTCTATGGAGAAGAAACCACATTTTGCTCCACTGGGCCCCAACAACTCATTAGTAAATAGCTGAAACTTCCGGACTTCTAGGCTTTCATATAGTAAGGAACATCTGCATCCATACTCACCTAATTTATTCTGGGAAGCTGCGCTGCTGCTGCTGCTGCTGGGAGTAATGGCCATTACTGTTTATTAAGTACTTCTCATGCGCTGTGCTAAGCACATTACATGCATAACCTCATGTAATCTTCACAACAGGGTTATGTTATTATTGCCATTTTGAAGATGAACAAATGGGCTTGAAATGAGGTGAGGCAATGCGCCCATGCCATTGGTGGAACTGGAAGCGGAAGTCAAGAAATCTCACCCCAGAGACTGTATTTGAACTACTCATTACTAGCTAGTAACTGTTAAGGAAGGGTACCAACCTTGCTTAAATATTAAATGATAGCTTTTTTGTTTGGTAGCTACTAACATCTAAAGGCAAAGACAAATTCTTTTTTCTAACATCTTACAAGAAACCAAACCAACCCCCTCTAGCTGTGGGGCAGACAGTAAGAGAGGGAAGGAAATAAGCACACACTTACTTGCAAAATCCGATCTCCTTCTCGGATTCGGCCATCTTTGGCAGCGATGCTATTTGGATCTACCTGTAATGGAGAGCACGCACACCATCAGCTGGATACGCAAGATCTTCTCAAGCAATTAAACTTATAGTTGTAAAATATACAGTTGGAACCCTAGTACAAATTTTTCTATTGATTTATGACAGAGTGCATGGTGCATTTTTCTCTGTCAGAAATCACTCATTCTAAAAAATAAAATGCACTACTTCTTCCTTTTTCCTTCACTTACCCATTTCTGAATCTCAGTTATTAGACTTGGTCTTTAGATAGTATAATGTTAATACTAGCATTCTCTGATCCCAGAGAATTTCCTTTCTACTACTAATCTGATTTTTAAATCCTGCCTGAGCAGTATCACAAAAGCTGATAGCTAGACTGCAAGTCCATACTTATTCAGGGAATTTCTGTTCCATGTATATATTATTTTATAAAGAGGTTTATAGTCTGTGTTGCTCAAGAAACAAATAATCCTATATATACATTTTATTACTCGGCAACAATTTATATACAGGGTGAAGTATATTAACTATAAATTATTTTAGAATAAATACATATTTAAAAAGCTTATCAACATTTTAATGGGCCAGACTTAAGTGATGATGGCAGTTAACTGGAGGTAATTCAATCTGTCAGGCTAAATGTAGTGGCTTCAAACCATGTATTTAGGCTTATTACATGAAAGCTTTTTCCAAGCAAAATATTTCAAGTATGGCATGAGTTGATCTACCCCACTCAGCTGTTAGGTATCACTTTCTTATTAGGGGTGCCACCTAATAACTGGGTCTTAAGTGGTAAACCAAGTACAAATGGCATTATAATTATATATAAGAGAAATAAGAACAATATTTATTCCAAGTTCATATGCTCAGTTCCTGTGCTTCTTTGTCTTTCTTGAAGAGTGAAGTTTCGTGTCTAACACTTAAGTGGTTAGTAGAGATTTACCAGAGGAAAGTGAAGCGTGATTAATCAATTGCATCCCATTTAAAAGCTATTTACAACCTAAAAGTTTGTCTTCTAGACTGTAATCAAACTGATACTAAACTTCTACCTTTCTACTTTTGTACATATTGCAAAAGAAAATTCAGGTATTTCCCTATACTTCCTCACTTTAGAGGGCTTATCATAGTTGTACATTTAAAACAGGGCCTAGCCAGGCCTGGTGGTGCACACCTTTAATCCCAGCACAAGGGAGGCTGAGGCAGGAGGATCACTGCAAGTTTGAGACCAGCCTGGGCTACAAAGTGAGCTCAAGGTCAGCCTGCACTGCACAGCAAGACCCTGTCTCAAAAAGACAAAAACAAAACAAAACAAAAAAACCCAAACAAACAACAAGCCAGGGCCTAAATCCCTTCTTTGGAGAGTTTGTAAGAGCCAGTCAGCAAACTTTTTGGAAAAGTAACAAAAAAGTAACATTTTACATTGTAGACCAGTGTAGTTTTCTAAGTAGAATAACTACATGATCTCTCCATATTCTAAACAACTCCCTAAAAACAATTACATAAACATTGTACTGATTCTCCTGTTGAGGAAGCGGAGAATGTTAGGTAATGTTTAATATCAAGGCCATGAAAACTTGGAACAGGAATTAGTGTCTAGCTTGTCTAACTCTATTCACAGGAGTCAGACCCTATATAAACACACACACGTGTGTGTATGTGGTGTGCATGTGTGTGTAATTTTTAATCATGTACACATATATAGAATTTTGAAAGCCATACTTTTCTACCTCTAAAATGATCTTTTGGGAGAGTTTTAAAAAAATCACCCATGATAAAAATGTTGGATAGGCTTCCAAAGTCATGAACATCAATGGTGTTTCACGCTGAGCCCCTCCCTTCTTTTCTTTTCTTTTTTTTTTTTTTTTTTGCAGTATAGGAGATCGAACTCACGACCTTGCGCTTGCTAGGCAGGCGCTTATGCCCCTGAGCTATATCCCCAGCACCTCCCCTTTTTTTTTTTTTTCAAAGGAATGTAATGTGAGTTAAATTTTTTTTCTTTTGTCTTTTTGAGACAGGATCTCACTATGCAGTTCAGGCTGGCCTTGAGCTCACTTTGTAGCCCAGGCTGGCCTCGAACTTGCAACGATCCTCCTGCCTCAGCTTCCCGAATGCTGGGATGACAGGCGTGCGCCACCATGCCTGGCCCATTTTTCACCACACACACTATTTCCATGTAATTCCAATAAT